CTCATGGCCACGACCCTTCCGGCAGGATTTCGCGCTGGGGCTCTCGGTGCTGCTGCGGGGGACGGAGCAGCAGAAGCTGAGGTGGACGTTTGACCTCTACGATGTGAATAAGGACGGCTACATCAGCAAGGAGGTGACAGTGGGGGACACTGGGAGACACTGAGGGGGCTGATGGGGTGGGGACACCCAGACGGGGACCTGCCAGCTCCCTGTGTCCCCCAGGACATGCTGGAGATCATGAAATCCATCTATGCCATGATGGGCCGCTGCACCGAGCCCGCCCTGGGGGCCAGCGCCCCGGCCCAGCACGTGGAGCTGTTCTTCCAGGTGAGACTGTCCCCACTGTCACCTCTCGGGGCCACTCTGCCGCCAGGGGTTGGCCCCACTCAGGCCTGGCCATTCCCTTGCAGAAGATGGACAGGAACAGGGACGGCGTGGTGACCTTCGAGGAGTTCCTGGCCACTTGCCAGGAGGTGAGGGGCTCTAGGGGGACACCATCCTCCTCCTCCTTGTTCTGTCCCAAAGTGACGTGCTGGGGACACCAGGCGAGAGGAGGAGGTCACCCCAGGAGGGATGGGAGTGGGACAGGACAGGAGGGACAGGGGGAGGCACAGGAGTCAGAGCTGTGAGAGGGATGTGGGGGGGATAACAGGATTGTGATGGGAAATGTGGGATGAGAGGGGACAGGAGACGGGGACAGGATGAGGGGAAGAGGAGGGAGATGGCAAAAGGGTGACAAGAGGAGGAGAGCTGGGAGCAGGGGGAAGGGGACACGGGGTCTCTGCTCTCTCCTCCCCAGGACAAGGACATCATGAGCTCCATGCAGATATTCCACAACGTGCTCTAGACCCCAGCCCGCCCCGGAGATTTTCTACTGTTTCAGGCAAACAAGAAGTTCAAAGTCAGGAGAAATCCAGCATGTGGCTCCCTGAGATGGGACAGGACAAAGACAACGCTGCCACCAGAGCCAGCCCAGCACGGTGCTGCCAGACAGAGCCATTTTGGGGGACTGAGCCTCCCCTCGACACGGACCCCCCCGTGGCAGTGCAGGGACCTGACCCAGCACAAACCCGACCCCAGGAGCTCCTGGGACACGGGAATTGCCGGGGTGTGAGGACCCTCAGAGATGGGACCCCCAGGGCAGGGACCCCCCGAGATGTGGGGGCTCTCTGGGTGAGGGTCTCCACATCACAGCCATGAAATGGAGCCCCCAAACACCAACCAGAAGCACACAGCCCCTTCTCCCCGCAACACTCAGGGGACCCCCTATGAAGCCCCCTCACCCAAGAGCGTGGAGAGGGGGGGAATTTTATAAATAAACCAAATAGTGACGATTTAGGGGTGAAATGGAGTCAAGAGGGATGGATGTGAGAGACGCGCTTTGTCCTGGTCCCTGTCCTGCTCTCTGTGTCCCCCTCCCTGTTCCGCTCCCGCTCCTATCCCCGTGTCCCTTCCATTCCCACCCCGATCCCATTCGCATCTCCCGGTCCCGGTCCCGGTCCCGGGGCTCCGCCCCTCAGCCATCGGCTCTCGTTGGCTGCTTGGCCCCGCCCCCCCCGCGCTCCTATTGGACAGCACAAAGGGGGCGGGGTCTCGGCGCGGCGACCTTCAGGCGGGCAGGGGAAGCGTCACGTGACACTTGCCGGGGCTCGCAGCGCCCCCTAGCGGAGCGGGGGAACAGCCGAGTGTGAGACCCCCGGGACCCCGGGATGGGGGAACCCCTGGGAACGGGGGAACCCCTGGGAACGGGGCACTGTGGGACTGGGGGGGGTATCCCTTGGGTCGGGGGCATTCCCGGGATCGGGGCTGTGCGGGATAAATGTGGGAATCCCTGGGATCGGAGCGGTACGGGATCAGGATGGCATCCCCTGTGACCGAGGGGGTTCTGGGCATCGCGAC